GAGGAGCTAAGTTCAGATAGTGATACAAACGGGGTTGGCCAGGAGACGCGTCTTTACCGCTAGGAAGGGTAGACAATACTCAGGTGCTGAGACTGAGGGCTGCAGGCTTCTTAAAGTCCCTTAATTGGAGATGAGGAGCAGGTGTGTCGTCTCACTCAGCCTCAGCGCTGGGGGAGGGGAGGAAGCTCTGGAAAAGAGTACAGCCAGACCAGGCAAACAGGGAAAAACAGGAAGTCCAGCCAAAATAAAACAGGATGAGGAGGCGTCTCACCACAGTTTGAACATTAAAGATCTTGTCTTTGTAGTGTATTCAGTTGAATATAGGTTATGAAGGATTTTCAAATCATGTATTCTGTTTTTAATTATGTTTACCACAATTTCCCAAATTCAATGGAATTGGGTTTTGTACATACAGTCTGTGTTTAGCATGCAGGAGCCAGAAAACATACTGCATGAAATCAGTCATTAAAGTTGGTTCTTTGAAATTAAATATATCGTAGCTCAGATGTTTCCGTGTCTTGCACATACATATGCAGCAGCAGTTTGCTTATTCATGCAAAAAAGACAGAATGCATTGAAAGTTTTGTGACAGAATGTACATTTCTGCTACAGGATCCTATAGTCTTGATGCACAGTGCAGAAAACTGCAGAAGCAGCCTCCACTCCACCACTGCTCTATGTAAGGAATCAGCTACTTTGGGGAGCTCAAAAAAGTCAACACAAATACCTGTATATATGAATCTAAAAGTAATTTCAGTACCTTTAATAAAGTAGGAGAAAAATGCCACTGAGTTAATTAAGAAAACATCCAGAAGGAAGCCAGTTAAAGGAGAAGCTCATGAGCTGTTTAATTCTTCAAAATTAGCCTGTTCCTTACTGAGCAGAAAAGCCACAGCTGCTGTTTTCATGGCAGTGCCAGCATCACAAAGCCAACTACAGCGTGGACAATATTCAGCCCGGTGAGCACAGCTAGAAATGCCAAATGCCACTACACAATGACTGCGAGGAGAGGAGGAGAGCAAAGATTTTTGTTCTGTGCAAATGATTTACCTCTGAGCTGCTTATGAACTTGAGTGCTGCGAGAATTTCTTCAACAATGCACCTGCAGAGGTGAGAGTCAGAGTTGGCTTTTCTAGTGCTGTTACATCCTACTTGAGGACATAAATGAGGTAAAATTCTTGCACTTTGTCCAGGCTGAAACAAGCATTTTTGGGCAGCTTGCAATGATTTTTATTATAACTCTGATATAAATTGTTAGAAAAGGTTGAATCCTATTAACTAAAGTGATCCCCAGACTGTTCTTCTAGCACTGCTATGAGCTTAACTTTGTCAGCCCTGTGTAATGTAATAATAACTAAACTGCTGATTGCATACAGGGGAAGTAGCTACATTAGCATATGTATACATTCGCAATAAAGTAAAGAAATAGGAGAACTAATCGGGCAAGCTGAAATGAGCAAGAGTACAATAGAGCCAAGTACTGGAAGAAGTGTCATCCGATCAGTACATATCATACTCATTCAAGGTGTCAAAAGGTGTATGCATCATTTTTTTTTAGAAAATTCAGCACAATTTTCCTCACATTTTCTTAACATAGGATCCAGAGTCTGTGAGTAAATCAAATTGGTTTTCAGAGTGTGGCTAATATTAGCAGAGCTAGCACCACCAGCCTTTCTCTCAGTAGGACCCTTATGGTCACACATTACTCTGCTTAGTAATTATATTAAAGTTTAACCTAATTAAAACTTTATCTGTACTTTCTGGATCAAAATGCTGCCAAATTGCACACTGCTACAAGATGCCATCTGTCATCTGTGTTTGTTTGCGTCATTTTTGTCTAAATTTAAAACTAAAACTTAATACTTTTCCCCTGGAAGAGATAGTGTTCAGAGAGGACACGCCTCCCATTGTGACTCTATTTTAATACTTTGTAGTCAATTAAACTTTGCTTAAATTGTCCTTTTCATGATACTTGACCTCATAAGAATAAGAACTTTATTAATCCCTGAAGTGAAAATCAATTGTCTATTGTCTCATTTGTCACGTCTCTAAAAGTAATCTACTATTTAAAGAAGAGTTGTAAAGTCTGATGGCTGTGGGTACAAAAGATCTTCTGAATCTTTCTGTCCTGCAGCGAAGAGAGAGGAGCCGTCCAACACTGTTTAAGTGCTGAAAAAGTCCTTTCTTGCTGGACCAAATGATCTAGATCCCCAAGAAGATCAGGTATAGCAAGCACTCAGAGTCTTTACCATAGGCTGTATAAAGAATGGACAGAGTCTGCCTCCTCGCTGGGTGAAGCCACTGCTTTGTGCTCAAGTCCTCTTTTTTCTGTGCAGCTCCATTTTTAAAAGTTATTACAGGGTTCATGTTTTCTATGATTGACACCTGATACAGCCTGTGGGCATTCAGGGATTGCATAGCTCTACCAGGGGATACGCTGTTTGAGCCAAGCGCCATCAACGCGACTCTCGGCGACTGCACGCCCAAATGCGTGCATCACTACTGCGCAGCGCTGGTTTCAGGAAATGAAGAAAAATCCCGGAAATACAGAGAGCTATTTGGCTTCAAATCCGTATACAGGCGGTAGGCAGAACCAAGTTGTCCATAGTATATGCAGTCTATGGTCTTTACACTTTGGTGGTTGACCTGAGAAAGAAGTTTCCAAACCTTGTCCTTGCACGGATCACAGACAACTTGAGCATTAGTGTATTCGTTTTTTTTTTTTTCCTTTTTCTTTTATATTTGATGGAATCTGTGGCTCTTTTTGGACATACCATAATAAGTTTGAATTAAATATTTTACTGGACTTGGTTCTGGGAGGGACCCTTTTTACTGTAGGAGAAGGGGGGCAGTTCACTTTTAGATTTTCCATACTCTCCTGTTGTCTCCTCTACAGAAGGAAGTATGGGAATAACAAAATACTAAGGAACTCTTTAGAGTACTAATGAAAAATATATAGTCTTATTATTCTAATGGTGCTTTACTTAATCACATGTAAATATGTGGAATCAGGTCTCTAGTTATCAGACTCATTTGATCATGAAAACCCCTCATTGTGATCATGCGTATCGTGTGTTATTTGTTGCGTTAAAGCATAACATTTAACTACTTTGTATGTAATACCTTTAATATGTCAGTTATGAAGCACAGCGTTAGTTCTGGCAGGTCACAACGTCAAGCGCTGATCTGCAGCCCATGAAAGGTAGCCACCTCAACCAGCTGATGGCACAGCTGTTTTCTTCTTAGCTTCTATTGGTCCTATGCCTTTAGAGCACCCTTTTATAACTGCCCTAACCCAGCCTCTTCCTCTGCTTCAACAGGCAACCAGCAAGCTGCTGCAACCGCTTTGCAAGCTCCCACTTACACACGTGGACAAAATTGTTGGTACCCCTCAGTTAAAGAAGGAAAAACCCACAATTCTCACTGAAATCACTTGAAACCTACAAAAGTAACAATAAATAAAAATTAATTGAAAATTAAATAATCAAAATCAGCCATTACGTTTGAAATGTTGATTAACATAATTATTTAAAAAAAACAAACTAATGAAATAGGGCTGGACAAAAATGATGGTACCTCTATAAAAGATTGAAAACTATTTGACCAGAGTGACATGATTAACTCAGGTGTGTCCTTTAATTGACATCACAGGTGTTTCCAAACTCATAATCAGTCAGTCTGCCTATTTAAAGGGAGACAAGTAGTCACTCTGCTGTTTGGTGAAAAGGTGTGTACCACACTGAACATGGACAACAGAAAGCGAAGGAGAGAATTGTCCCAGGACATCCGAAAAAAAATTATAGACAAACATCTTAAAGGTGCAGGCTATAAGACCATCTCTAAACAGCTTGAAGTTCCTGTGACAACAGTGGCTCATATTATTCAGAAGTTCAAGACCCACGGGACAGTAGCCAACCTCCCTGGATGTGGCCGCAAGAGGAAAATTGATGACAGATTGAAGAGACAGATCGTTCGAATTGTATCCAAAGAGCCCAGGACAACCTCCAAAGAAATTAAAGGTGAACTCCAAGGCCAAGGTACATCAGTGTCAGATCGCACCATTCGTCGTTGTTTGAGCCAAAGTGGACTTCATGGGAGACGACCAAGGAGGACACCACTGCTGAAAAAAAATCATAAAAAAGCGAGACTGGAATTTGCAAAAATGCATGTTGACAAGCCACAAAGCTTCTGGGAGAATGTCCTTTGGACAGATGAGACCAAACTGGAGCTTTTTGGTAAGGCACATCAACTCTATGTTCATAGACTCAAAAACCAAGCATACGAAGAAAAGAACACTGTCCCTACGGTGAAACATGGAGGAGGCTCAGCAATGTTTTGGGGCTGCTTTGCTGCATCTGGCACAGGGTGTCTTGAATGTGTGCAAGGTCAAATGAAATCTGACGACTATCAAGGCATTCTGGAGAGAAATGTGCTGCCTAGTGTCAGAAAGCTTGGTCTCAGTCGCAGGTCATGGGTCTTCCAACAGGACAACGATCCAAAACACACAGCCAAAAACACCCAAGAATGGCTGAGAGAAAAGCGTTGGACTATTCTAAAGTGGCCTTCCATGAGCCCAGATCTGAATCCCATTGAACATCTGTGGAAGGAGCTGAAACATGCCATTTGGAGAAGACACCCATCAAACCTGAGACAACTGGAGCAGTTTGCTCATGAGGAGTGGGCCAAAATACCTGTTGACAGCTGCAGAACGCTCATTGACAAATACAGAAATCGTTTAATTGCAGTGATTGCCTCAAAAGGTTGTGCAACAAAATATTAAGTTATGGGTACCATCATTTTTGTCCAGCCCTATTTCATTAGTTTGTTTTTTTTAAATAATTATGTTAATCAACATTTCAAACATAATGGCTGATTTTGATTATTTAATTTTCAATAATTTTTTATTTATTGTTACTTTTGTAGGTTTCAAGTGATTTCAGTGAGAATTGTGGGTTTTTCCTTCTTTAACTGAGGGGTACCAACAATTTTGTCCACGTGTGTATAAGAACACTCAGATCTGCATTTTTGCTTGTCCTACCTTGCTCTTCATCATGTTGATCGCTGCCCACGATGAGGATCCATGGCAGAATGAATGCTTTTCTGAAACACAACATCAGCAATGCGAAATCAAGGAAGCCAGTCCTTGCATGACAGCTACATTCCTTTCCAGACAAGCTCTCCTCTGGCAAGTAAAACTTCTGTTTCTCCCAGCTTCAATGAATGGCTGGAGTCCAGGCTCATGAAAGTCGTTTAAAAATAACTTCACAGCTCCAAATGGTGCCTCACATCAAGAATTTTTCACCTTGTTCATGGAAAATATTCACATAGAGCCTCCACTTGCAGTTCTCTCTCCCTCCTCTGTCTCCAGAAAAGCCACCAAGAAAAGAAAAAACTGTTCCTGCAGCGTCCCGGCAGTTCCAGCTTCAGCCATTGTGTCATACCCGCCGCCCGCAGAGCGCGAGGCCCAACCCCAGCTACTAGACCCGCGGACGACAATCCCATTCTAAAAGCACTGTCCAGCATCCAACCATTGAAGAATCCAGTTCGGCATTTGCTTCCTCCATCCCAGCTGTCACACCTGCATTCACCACGCTGAACGATGACGTCACTCCAGCAACAACCGACGATGGTGTCACTATCCTGCGAAGGACCCTGGGAAGTCTCTACCGGCATTCTATTCTTCCCTCTAGCGGCTGCAATTACACCTAATCTGCAGAGTCAAATCCTCGCAGGTACTGGCATTAATCTTGTAAAAATCTTGCTGTGCTCTGACTACAACTATTGACACCTTGTGGATTGCGGAGACGTGTCTGTGTTGCTTAAAGATGGTGATCCCCGGCTGTTAAGATCTCCGACCTTAGCTGAATTCATAGCTTTCGGTGTTTTTGGAGATGTCATATGTGAAGTGTTTTCAGCACGCAGAACTGAACTGGACACATATATATCCATTATTTCTGATTCAGCCATGACTTATGGAGGAAAATTATTCAAGTAACATCACAAATCATTTTCAGCAAAGCTACTATGTACATTTAAAGATTCAGCTAAAGACTTGATTAGTCCTTAGTCGACCTGGCTCTAATCAGTAGACATTTCACAGAGCATCAAGCTTTTCCTGCTCAATCTGCGGGTATTTCTCTCACACCCAGAGGTAAAAGTAAGCCGGTATGCAGCGCTACGCAGTTCCGGGAAGACATAATCAGCAGTTTTAAGTTTAAACCCCTGCCATGTATTTAGGCTTAGTGTGCTGCCGCATATCAGGTGGGAGCGCTCAATGCGCACCTTTGATTGGACGCTGGTTGTCTGGGCGCTGGGGCCCGCATGTTGCGGAAGGAGAGAACTTTTAAAAAGTCAGCTGCTTCAATCTTAATGCAGAAATAAGACAAAATGCAGAGAAAAAAAAATCATTTTATGTTTAAGAGAGAGAGAGCTGCAGCAGATGATGATACTGTGGCATCAGAGTCAGCACCTCGCTAAACTTGGTTGTGCTCCTCTTGTACAAAGTCTATGGGTACAGTACCTGTAAGAACCTTATCCTACTTTCGCCCCTGCTCACACCTCTAATCTGTGCCCTAAAACTGTGGCCACAGGCCAACCACCCAAGCCTCTTCTAAGCCTACTACTCGGAGAAGCCAAGTTACTACAGGGACGGGCATCTGAAATCAGCATGCCCAAGATGCACCCACCCGGTAAAACAGTTAAGAGAGTACAGCTGCCTACTCTGTCAAATGTCCCTGAGCTGGGGAAGGCACTGGCAAAGCATCTCAACTGCTATTCGTGAAGCCATTCATTCAGACTGTGTTAGTCTGAGTGCAGCCTTGCAAACTTAAGTGCTCTCTGCTGCCAGCTACATGAGAGCTGGTTAAGCAAAATCAGCATTCAAGTTTATGCGATTCTGCATGGTCTCACTTTACCTCTTTAGTACCACCTTCTCTGTAGCTCCAATGCCCGTAAATATATCCATTGTATGTGTATTTGTTCGAAGAGCTGCACAAAGCTTGATCGCCATGCTAAAAGTACTTTTGAAGTATAAAGGAAACGTTGAAAGGGCTCAGGATAAATAGCCTGGAATACTTCACAGGTAAACCAGCAACAAAACTGAGCAAAAATAAGCTATTCTAGCCATTTTTCATATAAATATGGGATAACATACAAATGAAAACACTTAAAAAAAGCATTTTGCACTATGAGGAAGTAATATTTTACACAAGCAGGCAAGTGGGGCTGACTCCAGATGGTCTCAGGACTGTACAATGTGCCAAATATGGCGATTTTCGACCTAACGTACCACACATTTTGACTGATTACTCAAAAAGTTATGGAATGCCCATCATGAAACTTGCAGGGATGCTAGTGGACATGATAGTCTTTCTTTAGTTTTTTGCTATTTCCAATTTAAGTTTTTGGTCTTTTATAATTTTTTTCTGGTCCAATTTGGGTAAAAAAGTTATAAACAAAATACATGATACAACTTGAAGAGAGCTTTAAAATGACACCTGAATCAGCTCTCTAGGTGCCATACTTCCAGAGATCAGAACACTTTATGTAACACATGTCATGCTAATCAGCCAAAAAATTCGTTAGCCCCCTTGCCGTACGACTGCTAAACTCCTCTGGTCGACGTGTGTGAAGTCTGTGTATTATGTCCCGTGGTACCCCGTTTCATATGTTATGTTATGTCATGTCACTGTGAATTGTTTAATGTCTGTTTAAATTAATGTGGTGTATTGTTGCAGCTACCACCTGCACTGTGAAAAATTCCACCGGCCTAGCCGTGTGGCGATTAAAGAAACTTGACTTGAACTTGACTTGACTCACTAATTAGATGGCTTTGAACAAAAAATATTTGAGCTCTGACAGTTTCTCTCCTGAAGGCCAATCACTCCACCAAATTTCATCAAAATCTGTGACGTAAGTGGAGATTCTTGGTTGAATCGACATGGAAAGACCCTTTGGGGGACCTTAATTTACCTTAATTTTATTTATTCGCTGCACCTTTTCTGCCTTGGCTTTTCATATATGCACATGAAAGGGAGAGGAGGGCATTCCCTCTGACATTCCATGCAAGCGCATGAAAGAGCAGGGAACTCTCAGAACAGAGCCATACTGCCAATGTAAAAATGTTTGCTCATAATAAATAATTAATTTTGATTAAAGTAGTCCAGACTGAAATGTAGCATAGCCGTAATTCAGGCAGGACACAAAGGTTACAGTCAAGCTAAAGGTTAGAGTCAGCTGATCTTAAGCCAGCCTTTAGTCAGATGACAGCTTAGCTGATCGCCCTCCACACATCCTATTGGCAAATTTCAAAATGGCGCCCTAATTAAACTGCTTCTCCTGCGTACTCTGCCTGGCATGGTCGTTTTCGGGGGGTTCTGTTTATCGCTGCTCTACCCCCCGTTGTTTCTGCCTTCATGAAGGGTGGGAAGGTGTTCTTCCTGCTGCTGGCCTTTCACGCATGCTTGTGTGGAGAACGGGAGGCCCCGAACAGAACCTTGCATGCTCTCCCTGCTATCACCTTTCATGATGGCTCATGAAGGGCAGGAAGGGGCTCTTCCTGCCTCTGGCTTCCACGCAAGCGCGTGACAGGGCAGAGACCCAGAACAGAACTATGCCGCCAAATTTAACTTTGCACGATAAAGCTGAATTTTGACAAAGGGATCCTGACTGAAGCACATTTGTAACACAATAATAAGGCTTAAATAACATGAAAAATACAAATGCAATTTAAACAGTGCCCTGCCTAAAGTGCTGCCTAATTAAAAAGGAGCAGACACAGTCTGTCATAATGCAGCAGAGTGTGAAGCTGCTTCTCGCTTGTGCCAAGTTATCACTGCTAACCATGCCGTATACTTTCTTCAGTGGGAATATGGCTTCAGTTATGACCTTGGAAATTCCATCTCTGCTTTTCAGTTGTTAAAATAAGTGCAAACCTCATAAGGCGGCACTGAGCACAGGAATTATGGCTCCTCAAATATGCCCTTATGAATGGTCATAAACATAACCTCCGTCTGGACAAATAATCCTTGGTGGGGGCTACAGCAGAGTGGCCATTAAACAGGAGTCCCCCACAGCTCTGATCCATCTTTTTGTGGTCAGCCTGCCAAGAATAAAACTCAGCAGTCCATATAGCAGAGCTCTATAACAACCCTGAACCAAACGACTCCCCTCGGTCTTTAATGGAGGCCGTGCCGCTTGGCGAATGAATCAGGAGACTAACATGCAAGTCGGGAGGAGAGGGTGCGGACAGGGATATCACAAGGCCCCGCTCAGACAGGAGCAATAATGCAGCCCTCCAAATCCTATTATCATTGTAATGGAACGGATGGCGTGGGAGGAGAGGAGATGGGTGTGTGGGAGAGCAAGATGAGGTAGAAAGGTGCCCCCCCCCTCCCCCCTTTACAGTGTCCCTCTTCTGTCTCAAGAAAAATGTGTGCACCCACACACACATATATTGCTCCTATCTCACAGCTGCTATAACGGAAAGCTCAGAGGTGACACCCCCATGTCAAATAAATGCCTCCCTGTAGAAGAAAAATGCCTTGAGAAGTAGTGATTTCTGCTGTAACTCTTCACTTTAACTGAAAACATCTTTCAAAACTCTGATAGGAGAAAGTCAGCAGAAACCTGGCGCAGACAGGAAGGGTGTAATAGAGAAAAGATGGTGAGATATGGCTGTAATACGTTGCGACTTGGGGAAAATATTGTTTAAGATACGAGATTCTGAGGCAGAAGTGAAAGACAATGATAGAAAAATTCTGCAATTAACAGTGACTCATAGAAATGGTCTTACCCTTCCATTAAACTGCTTATTTAAAGGACACTGCATTAGATAAAGAAATAATGAGCCCCGTCAGCCTTTAGCCACAAGTCTTAAAATGGGAGCGTTCCATTTTTCACTTGTAATTCAGCTGGTCAAGGGGGCAATAAAATGACACGTAGGCGGTATCTTATGGATTCTTTGACAGGATACGCTTCAACATTCAACAATTCAGACAGGTTCACCACTGGGACAGCCCACCCACTGGTGTATTTTACAGTAATGTAATTGATGAAGCGTCTGTAGGTGGCAGATTATCCTCTGCCCGGTGATTATCATCACTCATGTTAATAATCTTGTTTTTATTATAACGAATAGAAAACCCGCCACTTCTTCTGTGGTTTTCTGCAAAGGGACATGCCAGACCATAACAATAACAGCTTCCATAAAGGATAAATAGGGTGAATTATTGTTCCCTACTTCTCCAAATGTGCCTGAAAAGCTTGGTGCGTGTGTGTGTGTGTGTGTGTGTGTGCGTGTGTGTGTTTAGTGCTAGCTTGCTAATCAGGCAGAAGTACTATTCTGATTCACTTCATTAATTCAAGCTCACATTGTTCGTGTGTATTACAAGGATTGTTAATTCTCAAAGTGCAG